AACGGTAAAAGTGGTAAAATACCGCCCGATTTTGATTCGAACGGAATAATTCTAGGTACCTTAATTTTTTTACGTCCTCCCGCTTTTCTTACAGCGGCTCTGCCAGCTCGAAGCGCTTCCAGTGCCGATCTTCTAAGCATTTTAGGGTTATCGATATGAAACAATTGTTTCTTCTTTAATGCATTGCGAACCTTTTTCACGACACCCTGTCGAAACGAAACAGAGGGACGCCGTTGTTGACCCATACCGAGCTTACGTTTAGTTTTCATAGTCGCGGTGACAAAGAATGCGGCAGCTTTTTCACCAAACTTTGCGTCTTTAGATTTTACTCGCTGCCACGCACGCGTTTCCAATTCTTTATCCGCTTTATGACGTTCGTCTAACGATTTGTTTTGCGAATAGGCAATGTCGTGTACCTTACACGCAGCGTCCAAAGGATTCACCCCGCTATCGCCTCGGTTCAAGCGTTTTTCCAATTTTGTACCGGGACCGCAAAACTGGTAACCCGGAATGTGTACTTCAAAAGGTAACTTGTTAATAAGCGTGTTAACGAGACCACTTCCGGACGCGAAGCATAACATACTAATTAAAGGAAATTGCTTGTGTCGTATATATATACGAGGTGTCTCGAATAAACATTGTAGTCATGCGGGTGGTGCAGCAGAAACTCAAGCTCCCCATCGATAATTTAGATTTGGTTTGCGGAGATGGTTTCTTTAACAAAAGCAAACACGGTCAACTGCTACCCAATTCATTTAGGGCGGTGTTTTGCGGACCTAGCGGTTGCGGCAAAACCAACACCATGTTAGCGCTACTCTTTAACCCCAACGGGGCAAGTTTCGAAAATGTTTACGTCTACTCAAAGTCGTTGTATCAACCAAAATATCAACTGTTATCTCGCGTATTGAGCAATGTCAAAGGAGTTGGATATTATCCCTACAGTGAAAGAGACTCGATAATCGACCCCAGCGACGCGAAAGAGAATTCTCTGTTTATTTTCGACGACGTGGCGTGCGACAAGCAAGATAAAATTCGCGAGTATTTTTCGATGTGCCGATACAAGGCCATCGACGCTATTTATCTCTGTCAGACATACTCCAAGGTACCCAAGCAATTGATACGTGACAATTGCAATATTGTCGCGTTGTTTAAACAGGATGACATGAATTTACGTCACGTTTATGATGAACATGTCTCACCCGACGTTTCATACGACAAGTTTAAACAAATTTGTTCCGAGTGCTGGAAAGAAAAGTACGGCTGTTTGATAATTGTCAAAGATTTCGACGTAAAAAACGGACGCTACCGCAAGGGTTTCGATAAATATATAAAAGTCGATATTTAATTGTCGATAGAAACAGTCATGAAGGCGACGTCCGCCGACATCGCCGACGCGGCGCTAAAAAAAAAAGTAAACGAGTTGTCTAGATCTATTCGAAAGAAGTATTTAACATTAAAATTGGGTAAGAGCGAAGAGGATGCGTCAATTCGGAAGCTTTTCAAACCCGTCAGCGAGCCGCTAGAACGTATAGCAAAAATAAAGCTATCACCGTCACCGGCAGAAATAAAAACTGAACGTCGAGGTGTCAAGCGGGAACACAAAAAGGAACCGAACGAAGAAACAAAAAATAAGGTTAACGTATCATTTTTGCCTATGGAAGAAATTCAGGAAACGCCGGATCCCAATAAGAGCGTTGAGATACAAAATATCGATGAGGAGGAAGATGATGTGTTTGACACATCGAGCGTGGCCAACGCATCCCTTCAATCATACCTGGAACAATATCCAGAAATTTCCCATTCATATATTCAAAATTTATGGGTAAAATCGCCCGACACCGATATTGTTTACGGACCCGTTTACGACAAAATATCATCCAAATGGTTTCTCGGCAATAAATCGCTGGATTTTCATCAAGGATCTGGCGATATTATTGTAGACGGCGAGAGATATTCCGGTACCCGCGGCTTGTATAATTTGGTGTTTTTGAAAGATCCCATAGCATACACAAAAGACGATTTGGCACAATATAAAAAAATAATGGAGGCTACCCAGGTGCACAGGGACGCGATCGGACGTTTGAAAGGCGCATCGACTGTACCAAAATATACCAAGGTCATCCGACCCTTAATAAAATCTCAGTCGCGTTCGTACTCGTACAGCGGTCAAGGTTATAATATGCGTTATAATGACGCTCCTACTGAATATGTATACTGGGACGACGTCAATGAACTCGTAGAGCGTCTGAAATTACTAATCGCGTCGAAACACGCAGGCAACACGTCTCATGATAACGAAATAGTTTCAATCGTTGAAGAGCTAAAAGAATCAGGTTTTATACGTTAGTTTAACGATGAGTCTGGACAAGTTTGGACGTTCTAGCGCGCTGCGCTCTAAACGACCCTTCACTAATACTGTGATTAGAAGCGCCCTCGATTATATGCCAGACGGAAACGTCAATATGAACAATTTAAAAATTTGCAATGTCCAAACGCCTAGCGACGACGGTGACGTGGCTAACAAAAAATATGTGGATGAGACAAGTAATTTATTAAAAATTGCATTGAGAAAGATTATTGGACAGAAACTCGAAGCGTACACGAAAAGATTACAAATTGAAGACAAAACTAGATTCTCGCGTCTTGAAGAACAACTGAAAATGAGTAGCACTACACTCGAAAATGAAATTATGCAGTTTCGCGAAGTTTTCCACCAAAAGCTAAGCGAAATGAGCGCAAAGAAAGATTTGGAAAAGCACATGACAAAAGTCGCCGTTTTGTCACAGCAATTTCATGATATTGTAACCAAAATGGAGCGACTTACGAACGAAAATGAGAATATAATGAAGGTATTGAAACAAAGGGTTTTAAATCCTCCATCGCAACCGAACACACATTATGAATAAAGAGAAGGTACAACTGGTTCGAGAACTGCACAAGCCGGCACGCAGAAATTATGCTCGCTGCCGGACTATAATACGAGGGATGGACGACCTGTGGCAAGCGGATCTGGCCCAATTAGATCGCTACAGCAAACAAAACAGAAATTTTAAATTCGTGCTGGTTGTGATAGACTGTTTCTCAAAATATGTATGGTGTCGCCCGTTGAAAACCAAAACCGGGGTCGAAGTCGCCAAGGCGTTTTCCAAAATTCTCAAGGACGGACGGCACCCTCAAAACTTGCAAACGAATCTCGGTAAAGAATTTTACAACGACACGTTTCTGAAACTTGTGGATAAGCATAAAATTAACCACTATAGTACGTATAGCATAAAAAAGGCCTCAATTGTCGAACGGGTGATACGTACCCTCAAAGAGAAATTGTTTCGACATTTTTCTTTACGCGGGACGTACAAATGGATCGATGTGCTCACCTCTATCGTTGATGAATACAATAACACAAAACATAGAACGACGGGTACGAAACCCATCGATGTGAGTAAGAGCAATGAAAAGAGAATTTTGAAAACCGCGTATAGTAGCATAAAAATATTCGGTCCTCGTAAACTTAAAGTCGGCGACATCGTTAGAATCAGCAAAGTCAAGCACGTTTTTAACAAAGGTTACACACCGAATTGGACCACGGAATTGTTTAAAATTGTTAAAGTACGGGTTACTAACCCCGTAACGTATTTGCTTCAAGATATGCAGGGTAAACCCATAATGGGCGGATTTTATGAAGAAGAATTGCAGAAGACAGTTAACCCGGACTTATATCTCGTCGAAAAGGTGTTGCGCAGACGAGGCAATATGGTTCTCGTGCGCTGGTTGGGATTGGATAAGTCGCACGATTCGTGGGTAGACAACGTAGACGTTTTGAAATAAATTTAGTCTCGATTTAGAAGTTCTGACATAAATACGTGTATATGATGGCTCAAGAGCAAATTGTGACATCCAACGAATTGTATAATTTATTGGAAAATTTCGAGTTGCAATTTCCTTCATCAGAAGTGCTCCCGTCCAGCTTCGTTCCTGTAGAGCAACAAACCAAAAAATCTGCGACCAAACGAAAACAAAGTGCGTCGGTCGTATCCCGCAAGAAGAAGAAGAAAACTACCACAAGTGAAGCGTTTGCAGCTCCAACGTCATCCGCTGATTGGCTCGAAGTGTTCACGGACGGTAGAGAAAAAAGTGTCATTTGTGAGGCATTCAATTTAAAAAGAAACTTGGCGTCTCAGTTGTCGGGATTAGAGTGCAATATCAACGAAATTGAAACACAAATTGCGCTTTTTAATACAGACTTGCAAGTGGCGCGGATGCAAGCTCAAGAGTGCAAAAGAAAACTAGAACAATTTAATAATTTAGCATTTAACGAAATTGTAAAATAGTAATAATGTATATAATAAATAAATTATACAATTACAAACTTCTGTGTAATTATTATGCGGTGTTGTGGTGGTGGTAAAAAAGAAAATAGCGTCTAAATATATACATGTTTATTCTTGTTGCAATACAATGGAATACAATCAATACATAAAAGCCTTATCTACAGTTATATATTTTATAATAAAACCACAGTATTAATAGTTCAATGTGCTATCAGAAAAGCGTAACTTTTTTCCATATTTCCTCTCATCGTGAAGCATTAAATTACATACATCTTCAGTTTCTACAGTGAACAAAACTTCTTCAAAGCAGCTTTGACACCAAAATTGTTTATCGTGATATACATCATTCAAATTATTTATATCCAGCTGTAAATGATAGTGATCCAATAAAAGTCTAAAATTTTTCTTTTTAAATTTTTTAACTACTTGAAATATAAAGTGACAAGATTTACAAACTAAAATTTCCGAATATTTTATCCTGTAATAACTGACCCATAAACAGTAAGCGGATTCTCCGTCAAAATCAATGGTTGGAGTTGCCAAAATGCTATTTCTGTAAGACGATCCAAATCTCTTATTCAACAGAATGAATTCTAAATTTAATAAAGAATTGCCATCAGACTGGAGCGCTAATTGTTTAAGGTACTTCCATCTATATTTCGAATAATATTTAAATATTAGTATCGTTAGTTTCCAAGGCAAAGGTGACTCAAGCAAAAAATCAGCACTACACCTAATATTTTCGCAAATTGTTATAATACAAAGGCTTTCTAATGTAAGTTGTTTGACCATAATCTGTAACAAAAATATATTAAAAAATAATTACGGCACTTTATAATGTCCCCACGGAAGCGTTTCATATGAATTCGGCAAAAGATAACGTTTATCGTCTAAAGGACTCAAGGCAACTTTTGTTTGTTCGATGCTAAATACATTGTGAGTGTATGAACGAATGGTTCGTTGAGTGGCGTACTTTTCCCTAAAATTTGTTAAGCATTCTACGTAGTCATCAAATGAAATTTTATTTTTTACAATATTGTACTGAATACCCTTTGACTTTTTAACTACCGAACCCGTTAAAATTTTGAAAGTATACATTTTCGACCTTAACCCCGCATAATGACTAATGATGGTGCCATTAGTCTCATCCTTCATCAACCCCAAAACCTTTTTGTTGATTTGCGGTATATTATAGGGATTGTCATTAGGATAATCAGACGTGTCAAATTTTGTTAAATCGGCCTTAATAACGCTTTCATATGCGTCATAACATTTGATATTATAAATGAAACTGTCCGTATCCATGTATTGAATTTTACATTTTTCGGGACCCAAATTTGGAAGCATGTAATTATAATGAAACTCGTACATGGTCGTTTTCGACAAATCCAATATGGACATTCCAATATAAAGTGGCTTATTAAAGCAAAGTTCCGATTTTTTTAATTCTATAAGCAACAAATTGTTATCAAGTATGGTTCTACTGTGAAATCTAGGACTGGAAATTAAATTTTTCGCACCGTAGCGACCATCCCACGCTTTAACAAATTTAACAATACGATGCTTGCGAATGTTTTCCATTGTTTCACCGTAAGCGGCATTATTAAACAATTTGTATAAATTTATACCAAATTTTGTCTTTGCTTGGGTTCTTAATTTATTATTATGATCGATATAACATTTCAACCAACGAGATTGGTTAAATTTTAATATTTTGTGAATTTTCTTTAGTACGAGACCGTTTTTGAGAGCCTGTTTTAAATTGCGATAGTGTATGACGTATTTTTCTTTATTATACAAAGTAGTCATTAGTTTTGGTAACTTTGAATTGGGGGGCACTCGATGTTCGGCACAAAATGGAAAATCTCTATGTGTGTCATGTAATTTCTGCGGGTATTCCAGGTCTACCTCTAGGATATATCCTTGGGAAGATTCATCTGGAATGTTCATGACATTAAATGAATCAATCTCTTGATGAGACATCCAGTCGAATCCTCCGTAAGGAAGAGGCTCGCACATGGCCTTGCCATAGAGGTTATTGACGTCAAAGTACATGATATAGGAATCATCCCTGGATGAATCGTAGTTGGGCATATATTTATTGTTGGCCTCCGCATATCTACCAATACACACCGAAATTCCACCTCGTATAGCCCGCTCGATAAACATAATTTGGTCAATGTCGCACAACGAAGGATGATCCGTTACCCATTTCAAATTTATTAATGTTAATCTCTAAATAAATAATATTATTTAAAGCCCACCCGGAATCACGTTCCTGAAACTCTGACATTTGATTTAAAATTTTATCTTGGACATTTTCAACAAACCAATCATTCAATTCTGTTCCTAAATCAACTACAGCATTTCCGGTACTCAGATATTTAACATCAACTTCGCCTTGGACATCATTTTTTGCCTTAATAAATTCACCGCAAAATGTGGTATTTACTTTCAGCAATAAAAATTTCTTTAAAATTTGACTAATTTTTTGTTGAAATATTGGACGACAATCGTTTAAAAATTGAATTAAATCTTTATGAAGTAAATTAATTATGACACCGGTCTGAACTCTTCCCTGGAAACACGACGCTACCGATTCCCATACAACCATTTCATTTGTGTTTGTCTCGCGGCTACTACTTTGTAATCCCAATCCAAAATGCTTATGTTGATAATTAAGAATAATTTTTCTAATAGCTTTCAGATGTTGAATTGTAGTTTGTAATTTTCTTTTTAACCCAATAGATAAATCCTTTTCGTTAGAAACGATTTGGTTGCAAGATTCAATATTTTTATTTAGTCTCCTAAGCCACACATCACTATCTCTAAGAGTGAACTTGTCGGAAATATGCTTTTTTAATTTTTGTAAGGTTAAAATTAAGATTTGCGCTCTATGAATGATCTGCTTTACGCGCATCGTGGTTTATTAAATATATAACAGTAAATAAGACTTACCCTGTATAATATGTTGATTAATTTTGAATTATTTTGAATTTCTTTAAAGAGTTGGGCTTTCCAATATCTTTGGATCCCTCGTAGACCAGTTTGTACTGCCCCGACGCAAAGTGTCCTAGTCTCGGACGGAAAGCTTCTGTCACGCGAGTAGGAAGAAATACTACGGAATTTTCTAATTGCAGCAACACGGAATTGCCAAATTTTGTATTAACAATTTTGGCTCTAGTAATTTAAAACGGAACGCCTATCGACAATTCATGCAGTTTGACAATCGGCTGCTCAAAATCACCTTCTGCAAGACAGGTTTGATTCAGTTGACTTAAGTCCATCTATAAATTATTATTAATTATTTTATCTCAAAATAAAAAAAATAAAAAAAACTTACGCTTAAGATTGCTGCTATTCTATTTGCGGTTACGGGTTGAGAGTACTAAGATGATCTTTAGGACCTTTATAAAATAATAACAAATGTTAAAGAATTAAAATAAAACAATAAAAAAGGTACTTACTGCTTTTTTGTACGAACACCAAACCACTAAGTTAGCTTCCACGTTGCACGAATAATACCAAAAACAACTACTGACAAAACAGAGAAAAATGAGATGTATTTATACGGAGCGAGAATACTTTCTAAAAGTTAACAAACGAAGACACCTCCACATGCGTTGCAACAAATTTTTCCCATTACGTTAATCCCACGGAGCAAATATAAAGGGGGCAATTAATTATTATTCTCAACAAGCAAAACAACTCGACATTTAGACTCGGCGCGTTTTGAAATTCCACATCCCATACGGAGATTGTAAAAAATGAAAGCAAGTTGGCCTTGATCTTTTGCGGCAACATACGTTCGTCCAACGTCCGAAGCGGTTGCGTTCCCGTGTGAAAGCGTGTTGACCCTGAGACTCCTACCTGCACGGTTGTCTGGCGACAACATCGCGTCTATTCAAATCGGCGTTGGTACTTGTTGGTAGAAGACCTTTTCGACTTTTAATTCAACCATGGAAGGGAGTGCATGTGTATAAATACGTTGCATGTGTATTATAGACTATATTCAGTGCAATGAATACAGAAGTGCGATGTCCATTTCCCTACGACCCTACAACTGGTAAGTTTTATATTTTAATTACCTTTATACAGTGCGCGTCTTTTCTTGTGGGTTTCAGTTTGGGTTATCACTTTTTTGGTTAGTTTCTACCTGTTTTTAAAATATGATACTCATCTTTTTTACGTTGCATAATAACCGATTTAAATTGAGTGTTTTTAATATCTTTTAAATGACAGTGAATGGAAAAGGGAATTTTGGCTTTTAAAAAATAAACAATTTTTAAATTTGTTTCAAAAATGTGCGTTTTATGGGGAAAACGCGAAATATGTTTTATTTTTTGTACTAAAAAATTGCAGTTTGCCTTTTTGACAATAATAATCGAATTAAATTGAGCGTTTTTAATATCTTTTAAATGACAGTGAATAGGGAATTTTGGCTTTTAAAAAATAAACAATTTTTTAAAAATTATTTGATGACCCCCCACTTACTGAAAGTTTTGTTTCAAAAATGTGCGTTTTATGGGGAAAACGCGAAATATATACATATTTTTGTTTATTTTTTGTACTAAAAAATTACAGTTTGCCCTTTTGACAATAATACACGTACATTTAAATGACAGTGAATTGAAACGTGAATTTTGGTATGCGCGTATAACTTAAAAAACAATTTTTAAAATTATTTGATAACCCCCCTTTTTGGAAGTTTTGTTTAAAAAAAATGTGTGTTTTATAGGAAACGCTACATATCATACTTTGTTTTGTTCTAGAAAAAATCGCGGTTTGTCCGTATGACAAGTCGCATATTATGTTGGCGCATCGCTTAGGGCGTCACATATTCAAATCACACAAAGAGTACCGGGGGTTAGAATTCCCGGTACGACATGCAACGACAAGGGAACATCACCAGCAGCAGGAGCAACCCGGTGGATCAAAAGAAACAAAGGAGCAGCAGGAGTACCCGGGTGGGTGGTCGACGGAGTGGGACGGCGAGGAGTGCACTTCGTATTTAGATTTCCTCCGGGAACGGGAAGAAGAACAACGCAAGGAACAGGAACAATGGGATGGTCGACTGAATCGACATAAAAAGAAGAAGAAACGCCTCGCCAGACCAATTTTATAAATAAAATAAAATAAAATGTATTAAAATTCAAGTTTATTTAATTATCCTCCCGATCCACCGCGTCACCGCCCTCTACCGGGGGGGCCTACGACGGTCGGAGCGCGCGACATCTAGCAGCGACGGGCGGAACCGGGGCAAAACAGGACGCTACACAAGCTAGCGACACAAGCGCGCGACATCTAGCAGCGACGGGCGGAACCGGGGCAAAACAGGACGCTACACAAGCTGGGTGGGGGGCGGAGCGCACTCTGGTAGACAGGGGGGACACTAGGACGCCACGCGCGGGGGGGCCCCGCTGCGGGGGGGTTAGGAAATTGAGGTTATGTACGGTTTCTGTTGCTTATATCGGCACTATACATCTACTAAAGTTTATATAATTAAGATAAAAAACAATATTAAATAAAGAGAACTGATTTACAATCTAGGTAGTTTCCCGTAAGAGGTATTTTTTTTAATGTGTGATTGGCTAATCTACGGATATTTATTTAGTAGTCTAACAGATGTATACGAGAAGTAGCTTTTAGTCATGAACATCTTAATTTCAAATATTTCATGTTGACAACCGAAGCGGGTTCCATGAAAATGGATGCGATTTTTACTAGTCAATTTTTCCAATAAATATGAAGGGCATCCAGTTTTAAGTAGTTTGTGAAGAAAACAAGCAAAATGTAATTCTTCTCGGCTCGATATATTTAACCATTTCAAATCGTGAAGCTTATGGCTTACGTGATCCCTTCGTTTAAGGTTCCATCCATCCAAGCAGGGTCCATAGACAAAATTACAGTAATTTAGATAACTTAAAACCAGTGATTTCCCCAGAATTGTTTTTATCTTAAGTTTAGAATATTTTTGCTTCTATAGATTGTGCGGAGAGAAGCCTTTTGGATACTTTTGGAAACATGAGTTCATTATCAAAGATTTTAACCTCCTAGATCCAAGTTTTGGGCGGCCCTATACTTAGCTGGCTTAAAATATATTATTGCAGACAGATTCTAAGCATTTGTTTAGTCTCCTTGCCCCTTGCCACTGCATCAGACCGAGAAAAAGGAACATGTATTTACATGTCATCAGCATACCTGTGGCTAGTGAACTCACCAAAGCAACCCAACATATTGAATGAAGAAAACAGGTGCTAATAATGAGCCTTGAAGGGCACCTCCATCAACTTCTAAGGCTTTCGATCTAATGTTGTCAATCGAAACTAGCTGATATCTGTGATCCAGATAATTACCAACCAGTAGTATTTTAACTTGGCACAGATTTGACACAGAGCATAGCATGATTGAGGACATCGAAAGCTAATCTAATCTAATAAGACCAAAGCTGACGTTTCCTTTTTATTTGCTGCTGAGAGAATATCATAACTTTGAGCAAAGCGAAATCCTTACTGTAATTTAGGTAAAAAGTTGTTATTACTTAAATAATCACAGATCTGCCTATAAATCAGTTTTTCAAGTACTGGCAAGAGATTAATAGGTCGAAGATCTGGAACGGTGTTAGGTACTCAGTTTTGCTATCTTCCACTGCGCAGGAAATATAAAGCTTTAAATACAAAGATTAATTCCATCTGTACCGTGTGTATCTGTACTACAGCCCAGGCTACCCCCCCCCCCCCCCGTTTACCGACTGGATCTCAAATTCTGGCGATATACATTTTATACTAGGAGATTTGGCAATGGTGGCAAAGTCAACAATATCTGACGTACTGAATCAACAAAATATTGATTAATGTGTTCAGGATTAAACAGGTTTTTAGGAATATCGACCTCCTTCTTTGATCTGTTGTAGATGTGCAGATGGTCAAGAGTTTTCCATATTTCTTTTGACTGTTTTTGTTTCAGCCTCTAGAGCCTCTACTTTTCTTATAAGCCTCCCAGTTTTGTACATTTTTATTACTCTTATATTGATATTGCGATATTCTTTCATTATACATAAAGCGTCGGCAAACCAGGCGGTCACGTTACCCATTTTTCAGTTGTGCATGATAGTTAAAAAGATCATATCCGCTTTAAAGTAGGAACTTATTTAAAGTTTGACCTTTCACTTGAGGAATTCGGCGTATCCAAAAAAGAGGAACAGGGGTAGGGTTTTCTCAATTGCTTAGCAATGAGTCTAACAATGGACAAATTGCTTGCAATCCTCTTCGTTTCCTATTGATTAAAAGCAGATTTTAACTTGTCGGCCACAACTTTGAGTTCTTGATTATCCGTTGATAGTTCGACCACCATATATAGCATATAGAGCGAGTATAAATATCTACAATAACTTTCACATTAATTATGTTCTAGTATGTGAGCCTTTTGGGATAGGTAGTCTTGAAATTAGAAGAACCCACTCCGATATCTTGACGTTTTATGACATTTTGTCCGGCTTTCCTTGATTTTAACATATATCAAAGACGTCAGAGCTCCTCAATGTTTTGTATTCCATTTCATCACGCCAACTATGGCTATTTTTCTCCTTTAACTCGAACCTTGAGGTTATTTAACAGTTGCTCTCTTGATCCCCTTGCTGGCGGTCTTCGACTATTGAAGACAAAATTAAAACAGGTGGTTGATTGCAGTTGTAACTAGTGTGATACTGTTTATTTAGTGTTTCTTACTGTTTTTGTGTTTTTATATGTTTTATATGGTTATTTAAAAAGCTTATTATATTGTTACTTTTTCTTTGTAAATTGGCTCAGCCGTTGAAAATAAATAAATAAATAAATAATAAATATCGTTTTTTCTCTTCATCAAATTGACTGCTGACAAATTCAAATTAATTTGAATGAAATTTAAAACTTGCGTCTTATTTTTCTTGGGTAAGGCCATGCCTAATAGAATAATCGCTGAGATCACTGTCTATCCAATTAATAGCTGTATTAGTAAATCAATCAATAATTTCGTTTCATCCGGTTGAAATTCAAACGCAAATAATCAACACAAATGTTATTGGGTATCACAACAGCGCCAATTCGGTGACTTTTGCGGTGTGGAACTTTTGTTGGCTTGATATTTCACCAAACAATTCAGCTCGATATTCTCGCGTTTTCCTCATCGCCGGGACTAAGGCAAAGAGAACGGTGCAAATAAAACTCGGTAACGTGGCAGCCGGCAAAGTAATTTGCGAGCGGAACGCGTCTATCGCAAATGAAAGCGCCGTTCAAAGGCGGGTCTTTTTTTCCGTCGCATTTTCATATTGTCGCCCCTCCCGAACGCCAGGTAACTCGTCGTCTCTAGAGAGACCGGAGTTTTCAGCACCGGAGGTTAATTAGGTCTACCAGATATTTGTTTCGTCGTTTCCGGTTCGGCCCTTACTCCGGTCGAATAAATAATTATCGGAAACGGGCGCGAGAGTGTTTTTCGACGTTCGGTAAAATGGCCGTCGAGAAAACCCATCGAAAACCAATCGCTTTCCTCGGGGGGTGGAAGAAATCGCAATATAACCGTCGCGATTTATCACAC